AGCTTTATTATACACGATCTTATGATAAGAAAAGAGATGAATGGGGCTTAAAAGGGCTATAAGAGGGAAGAGTACAACGTTATTTATCAGTAGTTTTATCCAAATTTATATGTTACAGGGACTTCGAATCTCCGCAATCTCCGAGATCGTTAACTTTTTTACATCACAGGAGAGATCGTCGATTATAAGAGGGCTAATTTCACCAGAAAAGCGACAAAATAGATTCAGTATTTGGAACTTATGACCTTTACATGGTGGGATCTAGATTGCGTTACCCTACCGCAATTACTAATCGTGTAACTTTTTTTCTGCCAGGTTTTTTAGATCTAGCGAATGGACGGTATAAATAAGCAAGTTTCCACCTTAAGATAAGTTAGCAATAACATTATTTTTTGCTCATATATATCTTTACTTGGTTCACTTGCCCGTATTTTTTTAAGTAATTTGTTATTTCATTAACGAAGACTATGAAAATGAATTTTTGCTTACTTTGATTTTTTTTGTATTTAGGAACGAAAAATGAGCGCGATAACACCACCTCCAATACTAATGATACTACCACCCCCGAGACTAATGATAGCACCACCGCCATAACCAATGTTACCACCACCACCCCCAGGACTAATGATAGCACCACCGCCATAACCAATGTCACCACCACCACCCCCAGGACTAATAATAGTAAAATTCCCAATACCGTCTATCCTATCACCTCAACACCACCCAATCCAAGACCTAGCCAAAGAACATTTAATTCCAATCGTCAACGCAAAAATAGAAGAAACAGATATGGTAAGTAAAATTCTACCTTCTTACATCTATTTTAAGTCAAAGAAAATAAAATATAGTTTAATTTTGTGTATTAATTTAGATGATCCAGACTATGATCCTGACGAGGAGCATGATTTAGACAATTATATGTGGTATGGAGATGCTAGTGGTGATTGTAGTGATCAAGAGAGATATAATAGAGGTGAAATTGAATAGTATAAAAAAATTATATATAATTTTTTTTATTTGTATATTGCCCGCTCGGCAACAATTATTATGAAATAAAGAAGGGGTCCGCTGGGGCTCCTAATCTTTTATTTTTACATGCTTTTTTTACGTGATTTTTTACAATGTAACTTGTGATTAGTGGAGACTATTGAGTTAGCTTAATCTATGCTTATGCCACACAAATAATTAGTATTTTTAAATTCACACCAATGTAACAGCGATATATTCGCAAATTTATTTTTTATGTATTAGTTGCTCCGGCAACGTTTTTTTTTATTTCTTAAATAAAGCATATCAGATATATTACGTTCTTGTCGTTAATCTTGAAAAATGACACGTGTAATGATGTAATATAATCGGGCTGACAATTCCGTACTACATCTTAATTTTGCATATATATTGGGTAGCCGATACAAAAAATCTTTTATCTCTCTCCGTCCATATCTTGCTTCGGAAGTAAAAAAAATACTTTACCTGTAACTGCAGTCGAGTGCATAATTTTTTCGCAAGCACAAACACACAGCCATGCCTTCACAAGCTTCTTCACCCGCTTCACCCGCCTCAATAACAGAAGAAATTTCCACTAGAACGATGTCGGACGTGGTTAAGGATTTCGATACAGAGGAACTTATTGAATATTTGAAGAAAAAAGACTTGAAGCTCAATGAGACCCACTTTAAAATTTTACGAAAGGAAGAAATTGCTGGTAGTGACTTTCTTAATACAACTAAAGAGGAATTTCAAAGCTATGGCATGAAAGCTGGTCCCGCAAAAAGACTTGCAGAATTTATTGAGAGTCTCGGGCAGAAATTACGTAACTATTCCTCATATAAAACTCTCGATGACTTGAAGGAGATGTTGCGAAAAAATAAGGTCAATGGGGAGGATATAACGAGTATCAAACAATTTGCTCCTGGTGAGTGATTACTCTCTTCGCTCTGGAATGAACTATCATAATTAATAACTTTTTTTTCTTCACAGTCTTTGAGGAAATTAATGAAGATGATAAGGTTTTTAGTCATTGCATAGACGATATAATTTTAAAATTATCTAATCTGGAAACCATGATCGATGCCAACGAGGCCACGCGCTGTGAATTTATTTCAGCAATATTACACGCGTCCATCGCTATAGCTAAAAACCTTACCTCTCAAGATATATTCATAGTTTTGCAAAAAGATATTTCAGGTGAAGATGCGACAGGCTGAGTAGACTACGCAATTAAAAGTTTGGAAGAGCTCCTCTGTATCACCGAAGGGAAACCTCGCAATATTAAGATTGGATATGCCCAAGTAAGTCTGTTCGTCTTATCAGTCTATTGGCTTCGAAATAAGAAGACTAAAAAAGTGGTGTATTATACCTCTTAGAATCTAGCACAGCTTGAAAGCGCATTTCAGACAAATAAAAAGAAACGGACTGCGGATCAGGCGTTTGGGAACGACTATTTTGACTACATTTATGGTATCGTGACCGCGGGCACGGAGTGGCACTTTATCATATATACTCCGGACGGTATTTTCTGTACAAGCGGTAGTGAATACCAAATTAATCTTACGAAGTCAGCGATCAAAGAAAATCCTGATTTACTTCGAAGCAATGTGAAAAGGGTAATAGGTATAATTGTTGGGCTACTGAAAGATAGGGTTAGTGTTGATAGTTCCCCAACTAGTAAGAGGGCTAGAATCGAAAAATTTATCAAAAAATAATATGATGTATCACGAGCAATGTTCCAATCTTTGTATTTATTTTTTGCATGTAATAATGCTTTCTTGAAACTATGTTTCTTCGGAAGATAATCTACTATTTTAATAAAGTATTTTACGCAATTAAGACATAGGCAATAATGGAAAGCTTTCATCCCGAAGAAGATCGAGGGAATTTTCTTGGCAAATTTCAGTGACGGGCCCATCGCCCAAAAACATGTGATATATTTTTTATTTTGAACGCTTATATACAGTGTATTAGTTTTATATAGATCATGTCATCCTCGCTTGAATTATTGAAACAGCGCATCACTGAGCTTGAGGCTGAGAATGTTGAGATTGTAGAGCTCAGGAAGGAGAATGTAGAGCTTAGAAAGGAGAATACTGATCTTATAATTAAGTTCGCTAACTTTGAGGCTGAGAGAACTGAACTTAAACGCGGGATTGCCGAGACTCTAAGAATGACTAAGGAAGAGAGAACGAGGCGTGGTGCCGAGAATGCCAAACTCAAGGCCAGAATCGAGGAGTTGGGATCTGAATTTAGAGATAGAATTACGAAAGTGGAACAGAAGCAGACTCTAAATGATAATTCTTCTAACAACAATTCATCAAACTTCAATATGGTTGCAGATCAAGTGCCAATGGTAACACATCACGAGAAACCATTGGTGGATACTTCATTACCTGAAGACAAGGAAACGGACGCTTTCTTGAATGAGGTGCACAAGAAAAAGGGTCCCATGCCCTCACCAAATTTTATTTTTATACGATTGTGTAAATTGGTCATGATTTTATTGGGTTAAAATAAAACTTTTACTTATTATAGTCTACGTGATGCTCGCTCTATGCTTTCACATTTACTATGGGGATTCCACTAAAAGTTTTATTACAACAATAGAGGTGATACGTTTTTTCGCCACAATAATTACCAGAACCCCATTTACCCTTTATATTTTTTCATATACTTTCTTTATGATCTCCATTGCATAAAGGGCATATTCCTGAATAATCATAACAATCGCTATTTTTATTGCTACATTTAAGTGATAAATTGTTGAATTGCTCCAATGTGGCATAAATAACAAGATTTCGTTTTTCTTCTGGATCATCGGGTAAGATAGAAATTGGAAGATGAGAATTGAGAGATGCAT